CATTTGACGTGAAACTAGCTTTAGAAATTTTAGATAATGATGGTGTGAGAATTTAAAAGAAGGTCCTGCACTCAGTCTATGGGAGAGAGGTGGATGGGATTTTTTTAATGTTAGCAGAGACACATTATTTGACTAAATACAGATCTTCTTTTATCAATAAATTAAATAATTAAAATGCTGCTATGAAATGGATTGGGTTTTGGTTTTTTGTTCAATTGCGTGCTGTTTATTAAGAAGAAAAATGCCAATATTTAACAGGACGTGATATCTTGAAGTATCTGCGTAAAAATGTTGCTATAAGCTGTAAATATCTTTGTATTTCTGTTTAGATATTATTTGGCTCTTTCTGGTGAGGAGGAAGCTTACAAAAAGCCTGTCTGCACAGGTTTGCATACAATATGCTTTCAAGTGTGTGACAAACCAGAAAAAATACAGTGCTGCTTGTATTGCTTTTGATTGCAATAGCTGAAGGTATTCTTTGCAACTGCAGCTACTATGCCTTTTATTTTAAAATAAGACTTCCCCAGGAATCCTTGACTGCAATCCTTTCATGTTTGCCCAGTCATCTGGGCCTACATTTGAAAAAATGGAGAATAAAAAAATATTTTGTCTTGATTGAAAGGAATGAATGTTCTATAAATGTATACGTGTCATTGAACAGAATATGTGGCTTCTACCATATTTTATATGCCCTCATACTTCTGTTCTCTTTGCTATATTTGTCTTTATCTGGAAAGAATGTTACTTCAGGATTTCACTGTGAAATACTTCTTCACAGCAACAACCTTTAAATGAGATAGAGATAATTAAATAATTCTTGTAGACTAAATATGTGAAAAATTAACTCAATTTTTAAATTTGGAAAGTACTTAAAAACATCTTAAACATTATTAAACTTCTTACCTTCACAGCTTTCTATTGAAGAGCACCCAGTGCCAAGACTCGGTTATTCAAATCACAGGTTGCTCTTTTTACTACTGTGGATTGACATCCAAGGTTAGGGCTGATTGGAAAGCTTCAAAATATTTTATGTGCAGAACATTTTGAGTTGAGATGAGTTAAATCTCTGAATCCATCTGAGCTGTAGCTCAAATAGCAGGAGAGAGTGATAACTACTATGGACTTTCTGATGATAAGTTTGGGTAGGGAGCTTTGTTTATAGGAGAGAAGGGTGTGTGATGACCCAAATCTACAGTTCTCACCAGCTATATGTTTCCTAAGGAATCTTGAAAAGTATTTCTCTTGCATTTCAACTCTAAGTGAGAGCAAGTTGTCCAAGTCCTGCAGTCTGTCACAAAACGTGCTTTAATTTTCAGTCATTTCTAGTTACAGTCCCTACACAACATGCAGCAAGTTCTGTTTCAGCAACACCTTCTGACACTAGCAGACAACCTGAAGAAGATCTTGCCAGGGGTGCAGTTAATGCAGCTATAGAAGTTGGAAAACTTGCTGTGCTTAAGCTTCGGTTCAGCTGCTGTAGTGCCCTTTTCACTCCCACCCTCCCTCTGATTTTTTTTGCAAATGGAGGAGGTCAGGAAAACAGGCAGCTCAGTATCTCAGTGCAGTCAGCTCCCTTCAAATATTGCTTCCCTTCTGTGAAACATCTCTGTTCGTGATGCCTTACCATGTGTGACCGCCAAAAATATTTCATATCTCCCTTTCCTGCTGCTGATGAGGGGATCGAGTGCTCCCTCAGTAAGTTTGCAGACGACACCAAGTTGGGCAGGAGTGCTCAAGGGTAGGAAGGCTCTGCAGAGAGATCCAGCCTCTGGACAGGATGGATCGATGGGCTGAGGTCAATTTTATGAGGTTTAACATGGCCAAGTGCCGGGTCCTGCACGGTCACAACAACCCCATGCAACGCTACAGGCTTGTGGCTGGAGAGCTGCCCGGCGGAAAAGGACCTGGAGGTGCTGGTTCACAGCCGGCTGAACATGAGCCGGCAGTGTGCCCAGGTGGCCAAGAAGACCAACAGCGTCCTGGCCTATATCAGAAACAGTGTGGCCAGCAGGAGTAGGGAAGTGATTGTACCCCTGTACTCGGCACTGGTGAGGCCGCACCTTAAATACTGTGTTCAGTTTTGGGAGCTTGTCCAGAGAAGGGCAACGAAGCTGGTGAGGGATCTGGAGCACAAGTCTTATGAGGAGCGGCTGAGGGAACTGGGGTTGTTCAATCTGGAGAAGAGGAGGCTGAGGGGAGACCTCATCGCTCTCTACAACTACCTGAAAGGGGGTTGTGGTGAGGTGGGTGTTGGTCTCTTCTCCCAAGTAACTAGTGATAGGACGAGAGGAAATGGCCCATAGACTTGATATTAAGAGGTTTAGACTGGATATTAAGAAAAATTTCTTTACTGAGAAAGTGGTCAAACATTGGAACAGGCTGCCCAGGGAGGTGGTGGATTTGCTGTCACTTGAATTATTCAAAATGCGTGTGGACGTGGCACTTCAGGACATGGTTTAGTGGGCATGGTGGTGTTGGATTGATGGTTGGACTTGATGATCTTAGTGGTCTTTTCCAACCTTAACGATTCTGTGATGAGAAGGAACAGAATCAGTTTGCCTTTTCTGACAGGTCTACCCTCTGGTCTATGTGAAGGGCATCCACTGGGGAGTGGAGGACCTCACTGTTTAATGAGAGAGGAGTCTTGAAAACTCCTAGTAGTTCAGAGTTGGAGTGAGGTATGCCAAATGGGAATAAAGAAAACACTGCTGCTGGGAGCTGCAATGCCCTCAGAAGCCCTTAGCCTTACCATGTTTGCTTCTCACTTGCTGAGTGGGAGGATCCGAGTCAGAGAGGCTTGTGCAGCTCTGTTCTCTGAAAACATGAAGAAGGTACAAAAAAGGCTGTGTAGGGGATGGTGCTGAGTCCTGTGTGTCCTGATGCTACTGGGTCCTTTACTTTTATCTAAGATGAGAAGCAACATGAAGGAGAAGAGCTGCTGACAGGAGAGAAAGGCAGTTCTCAAATGACTGCCTGAAGAAGTAGATGTGAAATGGGGTGTGTTTCTGATACTTGACTTCAGAAGCTCGCCTGGAAGGTGGATTTCTCTGTTTAGGAAATAAACCTTTTCCACACATCTTCCTCCTCTCTCATTCCCTGAACCCAGCTGGAGCTGCTACAGGACGAATGCTGCTGACGGATATTCAGCAACCTGTCCTGGCTGGGGACTGAGTGCATCTGTGAAAGAAATCTGGCAAAGGAGCAGCATTGACTCAAATGACAGAGCTCAGCTGGGAAGGAGGCAGCAGCTTAACAGAAGTAGTTTTAAACCATATCTCTTGTCAAGACAGTCACTGAGTAGTGCTGACCGAAGTCGTAACTTTGAAGTCTTGGGATGGTTTGTTTAAAACCACAGGCCCTTAGTTCTTACGTCTACGGGAGAATGTAATTGTGCATTGAAGGAGTAATTTCTGGCCCTTGCATTTGTGGAAGAAAGTGACTTGTGACCCAAATGCCCTCTTACAGCTCAGGGCTAGAAAGCTTACGAAAACTCATTGTACTTAAATCACTGAGTAGCTGGGTGTGAAAAGGCTGTCTGGGAGATACTGAGATGTAATAGAAGTAATTTGCTCCAAATTCACAACCTGAAACCAAATGGGAAAGCTGCAGACTTTCCACTTGCTCCTTCCTGTTTAGAAATCCATTGGTAGCAGAAGAGTCATGAGGCAGCTAGAAGAGTTAGGATAGAAGCATCTACCAGCTCTAACCTCATACTCGTATCTTCAGAGACAAGCAGATATGCTGGGGCAGGATGGTGCTTGGAGGAAGAAGGAACAGAAGGAGAGCTCCAGCCTCTCTTGTACAACCTTATCCCAGAAAGGCTGTGATTAATACCACTTTTTTGAGGTACTTCGGAAAAGGATGTATCATACAATTTTCTTTTTTTCACCCAGTAAAAAGGGAACTTGCATGACTATAACAGCCGTGCTTAGGGCAGTGAATTTCTGGTGTTGCAAAAAAGTTGGTCTTAAACATTTCCTTCACCTAGCTTCAGCAGGCTAAGACTGTTCTGGTGCCAGCGTTTTGGGGTTGTAATGTTGGGAAAGAAAAGGTTATGTGCTGTTGTGGTTGGAGTCACTTATTAAATCTCATAGAGTGTGCTGCTTTTTGAATGAAGGGTGCATTGAGGGAGTGCTTAATGTGGTTGGAACAGGAGCTCCAAGACTGAGTCAGACCATTAGTAGGCTTTTTGTAGGGATGTATCATAGCTCACCCAAAGACAAATGTAGGCAGTTCTCATGTGGTCTGTCAGCACAGAATAGCGATGACAATACTTGTGAAAGGCCACCTCTGCAAGAAAAAAAAAGGTCACAAAAAAGAAATCTTGTTGGGTGGTCCAGTTTATGTGGTAGTGGATTCTAATAGTAATAGTCAAGCAGCCTTACCCTATAGCACATGGTGTGGCTCGGCATGTCTGCTCAGGCACAGCGGGACAGAGCGGGGCTTGTGTTTTACACAGCAAAGGCAATTTGCCTCCCCTTTGACTGAAAGAATTTAAATAAGAACATTTACCTTAAATTCATTGGTCAGTTAAGTAACTACCCTGTTGGAACTAAAAATCTTCTGGAAAGATTGGATTCTGTGTAGTTCATGGCAGTTTATAGCCAGGCGCATAACCTGGTTGCATCCTGGATACAGAGATCTTATGTTTTTTTGTATATACTTTATATATATAAAAAATTTACATAATTCCAAACCCTAGTAGCAAAACAATTAGGTTCTGTGAAATGAATATAAACAGAAGTTAAGTTACATTTTTTTTTGATATGAGGGATAGCCTGTGCAGAATGACAAATAGTGAATACATGCAGCAGGTTCCACACCTATGAAGTTAAGTTCAGAGGGCATAAGGGGATACAGTGCAGCTTTGTCCTACCAAACAGGCTTAAAATATTGATAATTCTACAATTTTTTACCTTAAAGTAATTCCCTTTGAATAAATTTGAGGTGCTTTTATGTAACAACTTCAACTTTTTTTTTTTCCTTTTTCCTTCCTACAGATCACACATCCGTGGGCGGACTGGGAGACAGTTTTTATGAATATTTATTGAAAGCCTGGCTTATGTCAGACAAGATGGACACCGAGGCAAGGAAAATGTACGACGATGCAATTGAGGTGATTATAATTCATTGAGTTTTCCAATACAGTGGAACTTAAAAACCGTCTTTAATAATTAAAAAAACCCAACAAACCACAAGACTTGTTCTGATTATGTAAGTTTTAAGAAATCAAGTGATGAATAATACTAGCTTTGACTCTGAGTAGTTTAAAAAATATTATTGTGGAATACATTTGGTGTAGATTATTGTGCTAAATATAATCAGCTTGTCCAAAATGGTATGATGTAAAAACCCAGGCTATAGTTTATTATAAAGAGCTCTAACAATCCTAAGATATGTGCAGAACAAACAAGTAATTTTTATCCAGTGTTCAGAATCATTCTAGGAGTTGAAGTCCTCAATTGTCTTATTCTTTAAATAATTTCCTAAAACATTTAGATGTTATATTCCATATTTATCTTGTAAAATGTAGTTCATGCCTATTCCTTGCTCTATAGTTTTTTTGTGATATGGTCTTGCTCCATCTGACAGATCAAGTAATGCTTGCCCAAACAGAGCAGTACTGCAGGATGGTTCAGTGGGATTTGGGGTGGGGGCGTTTTTGTGGTGGCTCTGAGCTTTATGCTGTCCAGCTCTTTCTTTTTTAGTTTCCCCATACACAGGCATCTCTTTCATCAGGCTCACTTGTGCCCACATACGCCAACACCAAGTCTTGTCCAAGTGCAGATATGTGCTTGGTGCCTGACTTGTTCCATGCTCTGTACCTGCCATGTTGCTTTCAACACAAGTTTTTAAAGCTTGTTTTAGTGCAGCCTCCTAAAGCAAAAGGCCTGTTCTTGGAGTTCCCAAAATTCACATTTTAAATTTGCACTCTTAACCTTTGCCTCACACTGCCATCCACTTTCCAGTTGGTTTTACTCTGAAGTTGGTTATAGTCTTTTTGAATTACTGCTTTCGTACTACTGTGATTTACATTCCCAATTCCTCGATGTATGACCTTATGCTTATCATCTCTATTAAAACAAAATGGTTCAGGCAAAACCTGGTTTGTCACCTGTTCTGAATGACTTTACAGATTGACTTTTCCTTTATCACTATCTATAGCTCCATCAATTTTTGTCATCTGCAGATTTTTTTTAGCATTTGTTTCTTGCAGATCATTGGTAGGAAGGCTATCTAGCGTTGAATAAAAGTATCTTTGCAGAATCTTCATGAGATAAGGTTTTTTCACAGTTTTTTGTTTTAGTCTGAGCTGTCCTAGCAAACCAGCTTTTAATCCACTTCACACGTGCTGCCTTGAATTTGTTTAGGACTAATATTTTGTATGATACCAAGGAGATTCCTGAAATTCCTGATATTCCTAATATCAGCATGCACTTGTCAATCAAGCATTTTTTTGAAACCACATAATACATTTTATATTATTGTTCTGTTAACCTTTTAAAATACTGTTAAAGCATCAGCTATTTTCCAGTCCTTTTGAACTTCCTTAGCTTTCCAGGGTTTGTTAATGTCAACGTTAGTAGTTCAAAATGTTAGTTGAGTACTTTTAATAGTCTAAAATACAGTTTATTGGGTCCTGTGGGTTTAAAAATGTTTAGCAGTTGATGTTTAACATCCATTGTGGTTACTGTTGAAATATTTTATTCTGAGTCCTAAACTGTGAGCACTTTTCACTGTAAGCCGAGTCTTGCAAACATTGGCAAATCTCTGTCTCTGAGTGGAGATGCGAAAATGCAAGTGTGGGACCAGATGAAAACACACTGGATAGGAGAGAGAAAGAGCTGAGGAAGCTCCTGCTTCCTATGTGATATGACCTGCAGTACAAGCATCAGATGGTTTCCTCTTTGGCTTTCTCTCAAATAAACCCACCTGTGTACGTTTGAGTCTGCATGAACTCTTCTGATTTATGCATTGTGGAACATCCTTCTGCTTCAGGGTTTGTGCTTATCCCAAGTCCTACCTGACATTGAAAAATATGTGCAGAGAGTCAGTGAGTAGTATTTGTTTTACATAATTGCATTTTGAATTTTTATTTAAGATCTCAAAATGTTTTTAAGAGCCCAGTTCCTTGCCGTTCTTTTCTGGTTGCCCATAACATAGATCTTCCTCTGTAGCTGACACATCTTACTCTTTGTTTTTCAAAACTTGGAGAAAAACCTCTTTGTGTCATTTATGCAAACAGAAGAGAAAGGGTGTAAAATACATTCTTCCCATAGCACAGAGTTGGAAAATGCTCTCAGCACCCACTGGTCTAAAAGAAGGTATCTGTCCAGCCACACCTCACTCCCTTAGCTTGCTGGAGGAGGGGAGAGTGAAAGATAGACAACCATTACCCTCACTTTCAGGTCTTGCAGTAGGCAGTGATATCCCATTTTGTGGAGGTATTAAGAAGAAAGATGACAGCATCTGTTCTTCAGATGTCATGATTTCCAATCCATGGCATATGAAGCCTTACCCAGGTCACCACATGCTTCATAACAAGAGTATGAAGCAATTCTGTATCTGTGACTTCTATGTGTTATGTAACATTAGTGAAGTTGTCAACTGTAAAGGGCATTTCACTTTGGTGTCCTAGTACGTAGATTCACAGCTGTGATAAAAGCTGAATTGTGAAACTTGTTCAGAATTTTTTGTGGTGATAAATATTAAGGATGGGCCTCAACTTTGCTTTCAACATAGTCATGTAGACCTCCCAGCTAGTCTGGTTTAAAGTGTCTTTTCTCCTTCTTACATCAGCCAGGGGACAGGGAAGCTTCCTTTTGATCTGTAGCCTTGAGTAGTGTGATCTATTAGGCACACAAATTTGATCCTTGCTCTTTCTTATTGCACAGCATTAGATAGCTAAAAGAAGGTTTCAGCGGTGTGTTCAACTATCACAGCATAGCAAGTACTGCTGCAAGACAGCTCAGAAAATGCTATTTTTCGTAGTCATAAATATTGCAGAAAGCATGAACATCAGATGGAGAACATTCTGTTTTCACATCTCAGACTATTGTTTCAGGCCTTTCACAGACTAAGGAAGCTTCTTCCATCAATTAATCTCTTAGCTGGTGTGAACTAAGTCTTTTCTTTGGGAGCTTAAGTATACATGTCCACTCTAGTGTTATGTATACTTCTCATGGTCCAGCTGGATGTCATTGCTTTACAGTACCTCTTGGAGTGCTCTGTGGCCCCAGGCATCCAGCCCAGGATACAAACGTCACATCTGTCCCAACCTGCTCAAGCTTTTCTTGTCCATTAGGCAATTATTTACATTATTTAACAAGCTATTCCTTGTTAGTTACTGTAAATATTAGTTGTCCTTTTTATACAGTTAGCAAGCAGTTGGTTGTTGAATGATAAAATATTTTGAGAGAGTTGCATTTATTTTCTTTAGGGGGATTTTACGACTCTTAAGGTTAAACTTAATTATTAATTAAGTAGCTGACAGAAGTTGATTTTCAGATTTCAGAAACTACCCCTTATACAAAACAGTGATGTTCAAGTTCAGAAGATGTATTCTGTGTTCAGAAGAGCGGAACATTGCATCTAGATGACATTCTTCAGGCAAACCCTGAAAGCAAGTCTAGAGTGAAGGAGTAGCTCAGGGAGAAGTGTATAAAATCAGCGTTCACTGGCTCTCCTGGTGCCAACCACAGCGATTTTGTGCCCCTGGAAATGCTCCTGCAACCATTCACTCCTCAATGGTAATGCAGTTACAAAAAGATAGAATTTAAAAGGGAATTCCACACAACGTTTGGAAGAAAATGTTTTTCTCCAGGAATAATAATGCCAACCCTTTTAAGCCTTCTTGCTTCACATGGTAAAAGTGTTTTTCCTTTAAAAAGGACTCCTCAATTTTTATGTACCATATGGGCAAAAAAATCGTATAATCATCATAATGTCAGTTTTGTCACAGTCTAGGATAATGGAATCAACAGCGCTAATGCTACAGATCTTAGTATCGTCATAGAATCATAGAATAGTTTAGGTTGGAAGGGACCTTTAAATGTCATCTAGTTACACCCCCCCTGCAATGAGCAGGGACATCTTCAACTAGATCAGGTTGCTCAGAGCCTCGTCCCACCTGACCTTTAACGTTTCCAGGGATGGAGCATCTACCATCTCTCTGGGCAACCTGTGCCAGTCTTTCACCACCCTCACTGTGAAAAATTTCTTCCTTATATCTAGTCTAAATCTGCCCTCTTTTAGTTTAAAACTGCTAACCTGTGTCCTGTCGCAGCAGGCCCTGCTGAAAAGACTGTCCCCATCTTTCTTGGGTGCACTGCTGGGTGGATGAGGAACTGGTTGAATGGTCACATCCAGAGGGTAGTGGTCAATGGCTCAACGTCCAGATGGAGATCAGTGGCAAGTGGCATCCCTCAGGGATCTGCACTGGGACCAGTACTCTTTAATATCTTCATTAATGTCATAGTGGGATCGAGTGCACTCTCAGTAAGTTTGCAGATGACACCAAGCTGAGCGGTGCATTGACACGCCTGAGGAACAGGATGCCATCCAGAGGGACCTGGACAAGCTGGAGGAATGGGCCTGTGTGAACCTCATGAAGTTCAACAAGGCCAAGTGCAGGGTTCTGCATGTTATGGGAGACTGTGTCAAAGGCCTTACAGAGGTCCACATAGATGACATCCGTAGCTCTTCCTTTGTCCACGGATGTAGTCACTCCATCATAGAAGGCCACTAGGTTGGTCAGGCAGGACTTGCCCTCAGTGAAGCCATGCTGGCTGTCTCAAATTACCTCCCTGTCCTCCATGTGCATAGCTTCTAGGAGGATCTGCTCCATGATCATCCCAGGCACAGAGGTGAGGCTGATAGGTCAGTAGTTCCCAGGGTCCTCCTTGCTACCCTTTTTAAAAATGGGTGCAATGTTTCCCTTCTTCCAGTCTCCAGGGACTTCACCTGACTGCCATGACTTTTCAAACATTATGAAAAGTGGCTTGGCAACTGCATCAACCAATTCCCTCAGGACTCTGGGATGCATCTTGTCAGGTCCCATAGACTTGTGCATGTTCAGGTTCCTCAGGTGGTGTTTAGTCTGGAGAAAAGGAGGCTGAGGGGAGA